TTTTTTTTTTTTTTTAAAGCTGGTGGAAGCGCGTTGGCGTGGCTGGGGAGGCGGCCAGTGGCTATTCTTAGGATGGGAAAAGCATCTTCGTCAGAGTCCTCCCAGGCTGTTCCCGCCAGCTCCAGGGGGAGGGTTGGAGCAGGGGATGGGTGCTGGCAGCCTGCAAGGAAGCATGTCTGTCCTTGGGGGGAGTAAGGAGCTGCATCTGAATCGGGGTGCTCTGCTCAGGCCTTGTGTGAGGCAATGCATGCTGAGACCTGTAGTTCCCAAAAGTGCCCTGTAATGAGGGGTCTGGGCTGCTCAGTGGTGCAGCCAGTTGGGCCCCACCTTTTACCTGCCTGCCCCCAGCTGAAGGGGCCATGCTGGGCTTGGGGCTTCCTCACCCAGCAGCCACCTCTCCCTGAGCAAGGTGCCTTGTCCCAGCCAGAAGGGTCCCGCGGGCTGTGGAGGCTCCACGTGCCCCCTTGGAGAGGTGCATCCTATATCCCTCCGTGCCTGCTGCTAGCTGTTCCAGGTATTCAGCATCCTTTCCCCCTCCCTCTCCAGCTCCTCACCCTAGTGGCAGCCAAGATCGCTGTGTCCGTTTTGCCATTAAAAGTCTCTTGCCTATTTGCTCAGAGCACCTGGCTCTCATGGGGGGCTGGGCGAGTCCAAGGAGCGACAGCAAGGCTGGTAGGGCCTTCAAAAGCTTCCCAGTCCAAGCGCCTGCTCCAGGTAGGTCCATCCCCAGTGTCCCGGCTAAGCTAACCTGCCACGAGGATGTTCCACCCTGTCTCCGGGCAGGGCTTGGGGCTGGCCTGAGCTCCAGGGATCCAGTCTGAGCTGCTCGGAGAGGGGGTGGGGGCACAGCAGGAAACCTGACCGTGCTTCCCTTGTCTATTCTTGGCTTCCCGGGCTGGGTAAACGGGGCAAAGGTGGGTCATGCGCTCTGGGATCAGCGGGCTGGCATGGCAGCTGGGGACAGCCTGTCTCCATCCTGCTGGAGGGCACCTGGGCTGACGACTTGCGCCTGCCCTGGGGGAGGTCAGGGAACACCAGCCAACAGGCTGGGGTGTGAAGGGTCTTGAGGAATCCTTGCCTCGGAGGGGCTTCTGCATCCACCTTGATGGTGGCTCTTGCTAGGGCCATGGTGCCTGTGGTCTGTAGTGGCCGTAGGATCTGGGGTGGGAGAGGGTTCAGTTCTCTTTCAGCCTCCGGCACAACCCTGGGAATGGGTAGGGTATCTTAGCAGCTGCCACACTAGATAGGCAAGTTGCTCCTACCCCAGTCCCATCCCTTCTCTGTGCCTCAGTTTCCTCATCTGAAGCAGGGAGGACAGCGGCTGCAGGGCTGACGAGCCTCAGAGAGGCAGGCGGCCGTGTGACGGGCTGGCTCAGGGTGCGTTTGTCTGGCAGGCTTTCGGCAGCCCCAGGCCAGGGTGCTGGGGCGTGAGAGGGAAAGGCTGGGGCAGAGGCAGGCCGGGCTGTCTGGAACAAGGCCGGCGGGGGTGGGAGCTCGGGCAGGAATGTGCCGTGAGCCCGCCCTGCGCGGCGTTATTTCCATGCAGGGCTTTCAGTCGGGACTTGATGGATGGCTACGGGCAGGACTGGGGGACTGGCTGGGAAGAGAGGCCTCCGCGGCTCTGGTAGCAGCCGAGCTGGCGTCTTTTTCTCATCACGCAGGGAATGATTGACGTCAGGGGGAAGATCCAGCCGGGCTCCTGCTCCCCCCCCGGCCTCCTGGTGCCCTTCCCGGGAAGCCGGAGGGAGCAGGGCGCTGACGCTTCCACCCACATTCCTCCCGTGACGGGGGAGGCAAGCCGGCCCCTCGAGGGCTGCCAGCAGCTTTCACAGGACACTGGGTGGACTCGGGCAGAGCTCCATCCCTGCTCCGAACACTGCAGATCACCGCTGTGCCGGGTTGCGAGATGGGGCCCCCCCTAACCCCAATGCCCCGGTGTGAAAGGAGAGCTGGGCCGCGGGGGCTGGCGACGGCCCCATGTGCATGCCCTGTGCTGCTTGGGGGAGGGATGTAGCTTTGTCTTTGTACATGCTGCTTCCTCCTGGGGGTATGACCCTCTGTGCCCCAAATGGGCAGGCAGCAGGCTCAGGCGAGTGTCTCTCTGGACACATTTACCTGAGGGACAGCAGGGCCAGGTGACATCCCGTCCGCCCCCATCCGTGTCCTTGGCACCCCTGCCCTGCGGCGGGTCTGAAGCCACGTGCTCGCACTTCCTCCTCCAGCTGGAGCGTGGTGACCCTGCTATTCCCTGGGCCCTCAGCTCTTTTAATCATTAATTGCTGGTGCACTAATTGTTCCGTCTCCTGCACCTTTTTCCTATGGCTCTGAGAAGTGCTGCCCACGTCCTCTCCCGCGGGCACGGAGCAGCAGTAACCTGCCCCCGAGGCTGTGGTGCCTGGGAACGAAGGCGCCTGCTGTGGAAAAACTTCCCTGCTGCTGTCATTGCCCTGCCCGGACTTTCCAGGGCCTGGCACGGCCCCGCTTTTCCACGGGTGTTTCTCTCTGGCTTGCAGGTGGTACCAAAGCTGCAGCCTTTCAAAGCCACAAGGCGAGGGCAGAGAGGAGGCAACTTCTTGGGGAGAGGCCAGGCAGGCAGGGGGGGCTGAGCCTGGGCAGGCAGAGTCTCCAAGCCTGGTGCCAACCGCGTTGGCCAAGGGGCGGTGAATGGAATGGGCGTGGGTGCTGCCTCTGGGCTGGGCAGGGGCTTGGGGTCGAGCACTGGGGGCCTCTGTGGGGCGGCTGTGCAGGGACTGATGCCGCGCTGGCATGGGAGGGCGTCTGGAGCAAGTGGGGGGGCACCAAAAGAGCTGGCGGGGGTCAGGCCTGGGGTCGCCAGGGCTTGTTGCAGCTCCCTACAGGCCGCTTGCAGATCCAGGGTGGGGGCTGGGGGTGGCTGGAGCCGTCGCTGCCGCCTGTGGGATCTGGGGGTCTCATGCCGTGGCTTGGGGCAGCATGGCCTTTGCCAGGCAGGGCGCGGGTAGCCGGGTGGTGCGTGGCTGCCTGGAGGGGGAGGGCAGGGGCGCTATACGGGGGGCCCCGAGCCACGAGGAGGAGGCAGAGGCCGACAGGGCTGGAGCACCCGCTCCCCCGGCAGGACTGCGCGGAATGAGGTGGCAGCCGGCCAGGTTCCCACGGCGGCCCCGGTTAAGAAAACACAGCCGGGGCGGCTGGTGGTTGCCTTGG